TCATAAATTATCTAATTTCGGAATAAAGTTAAATCACTATAGTTAATTGGATGAAAAACAAAAATAGATTTAAAAAAAAAGCAAGTTTATTTTTAATGACATTAAACTTGAAGTTTTTTTTTTTTAAAAGCGCTACACAGCCCTGACCGGCTCTTTTGTCCGACGGACTAATTTAGCTATATTAAACTTTTATAATGACATAAATCCACTCGTAACGTGTCACTGACAATGTATTTTATAGTTTTTCTCTATTTATAAAAATAAAATTCTACGACGTAACGGGAAGTCGTTTCTCAAGACTGCTTTCTTTTCTATTTTTTTATTCTTTTTATTCTTCGTCTTAAATTTGGTCAAGATTGATCGTGATCTTTTTGTTCTTTTCCACGAATTTCATTACAGGAATATGTTTTCGAATTTTAATTTTGTTAATGAGGATAGACGACTTTGAATATAGGCCTTATGAATGTTTTCGATTTAGATCCGGCAGGCGGACTATTTTTAGGCTTACTTCATTATGCTTTTGGTTGTTCGCGCAGAACTAACAACAATTAGACAGCACGCTTGGCTTCCTTCTATAAAATTTTCGTACTCACTAATGCACACGCATGCTTGCAGTTGGTAGGTAACCTGGAAACTTTTTATCATTGTTAATGTCATAGGCGAGAGTTCAAGTTTAAGTTTATTGTCGGCATTCACGTTGTGTTGGACGCCGGTAATCTCATAACCCCAGATAGTACTCAATTAAAAAAATGATTTAAAAAAAACGTGTGGCACTCGGGAACTGCCGCGGTAAAGCTATTGCATAGCATTTTTTATCAACTTATGCAATTATAATTAGACAATGATAATTTAATATTAAAGCAATAATAAAACAAGACCACGCTATATTAAATATTAATAAAAGCAAAACCTTAACTGTCCCCTTCACACTCATAAGCTAGACCGCGCGAGATGGGCAGACTTTTCATGATGCGCATGCAGTGTGACGTCACGCCACGCGCTTATTCACAAACACTACACAAGCGCAACGTGTGAATGTGTTGAACGCGAGCTACATGGTAGGCGGAGTGAGGGGTGTCAGGTTTTTTTCGTTACGGAATTTCATGATTCGGCCGCCGCGCTCAAGGCCCGCGATAAAAGCTATGCAATGGCTTAAAATAACATTGCATTATTTTGTGCTCTAACTTGTTGTCTATTAGCTATGTGTCGGTTTGATCCCAAATAGGTTGGTCCTACCTATCTTAACCTATAAACCCTACCTTACCCTACCCTCCACAGCTTATAGCATAACATTCGAGGTCAATAATGAACGTCCCATGAATAAACGACTTTTCTGCGATTATTTTTGCAGTTTTGACGGGAGTGTATATCACCTAAACAGAAAAGAAATGTAGGACAGAGATAGTTCATTAACCAGCCTTACAATACCGAAATAGGATACCCTTCACGTTTTAAACAAAACATTATCTTTATCTGGTAGTAGGATCTCTTGTGAGTCCGCACGGGTAGGTACCACCGCCCCGTCTATTTCTGCCGTGAAGCAGTAATGCGTTTCGGTTTGAAGGGTGGAGCAGCCGTTGTAACTATACTGAGACCTTAGAACTTATATCTCAAGGTGTGTGGCGCATTTACGTTGTAGATGTCTACGGGTTCCAGTAACCACTTAACACCAGGTGGGCTGTGAGCTCGTCCACATATCTAGGCAATAAATTTTTTTTTATCTAATCGTTTATAACGGTAAAACCTAAACGTGAAAAACCACTTCGAGAATCAAAAAAGAAAAATATTTGAAAATTACACACTCACTATATCGCACATAAGGTGCGATAACGTCACTTATGCAAATTTTGTAATTTTTCAGGAGAAACGTTGGATAATTCAACATCTTATTTATATAGTTATATATATCCTCCACGTTATTAATAGATAGGTTAATGTAATTGTTCAATATATTATATTGTGAATATATTTTTTTTCCCTTACATTATTCGTTAGATTAGTTTTTGTTATTGTGTTGTTTTGTCATAATTGTAAGGAACGATGTTATACAAATTCAGCACTATATATATTGTTTTGTCGTGCGCATATAACCTATGTTGCAAGCCAGATTTTGTTTCTTTTTATTTGCGTTTTTTATATATCTTTAGCTTGTGATGTGTATTGTGAGCCTAATAAAATAAATAAAAATAAATAAATAAATAAATAGTTCTGCTAGACTATAGAAATAAAATGATAACATTCAAACTACAAATTTAAACTTCACCAGTAAAAGCTAACATCTCTCTCTTCTTACTAACAACTATAAAAAAAATGCATTTTCCCATACTCAGTTGCATAAGTGACTATACAGCACCGACGTATATTTTTTTAATTGCCCATCTAATACGAGAGCTTTCACTCAGTATTGTAATGGGACCGTACGTTCACATTACAAAACTGCTTAACCCTAAACTATAGTTAGTACAGTCGAGGAGACATTTCGTAAAAAAAATATATATATATATAAAATAAATAAGATCTCGGAATACGTGTGTCCGTCGCACGGGTTACGCCGGAAGCCGTCGTCTATTTCGAACCGGATGAACGCTGTTTATCGCCATCCGCCTTGTCGTGTCGTTAACACCTATGCCTCGCATTTACATACCGATGTCCCCCTTGTATCGATCGCTTGCTTCACAAATTTATATATTCCGACTTAATCGTGTCTTAACGAACGATTATGGTTACGATATTTTCGGTGCAATAGTAAAGGCTCGTTATCAAAAGTATTTTTAAATAAACATCATTATTATGTGAAAGGCTATTAAAATTTGGTTTAAGCGACTTTTTTTTTAATTGCCCTTGTTGGCAGACGAGCATACGGCCCACCTGATGTTGAGTGGTTACCGTCGCTCATGGACATCAGCAATCCCAGGGGCAGAGATTTCGCTAAAATTTCGCTTGCTTGCGACGAAGGGCTCGGCGAGTAAATTAACCCTCAGACACAGCCCACTGAGTTTCTCGCCGGATCTTCTCAGTGGGTCGCGTTTCCGATCCGGTGGTAGATTCTGCGAAGCACGGCTCTTGCTAGGGTTCGTGTTAGCAACATCGTCAGGCTTGAGCCCCGTGAGCTCACCTACTAGTTAAGGTTCCGCTGAAATAGCCTCTCAAGGCTATCAGGTTAGGTAGGAAAAAATAAAATTAAAAAATTGATGTTTTTGATTGAACTTCAAATAAGTTTACCCAATTCAAATAGTTGAAGAAGTTTTTTTGTTCTGACATTTTTTTTTACAAAGTTCAAACTTTAAATGTCTCTCTCCTGTAAAGTTGCAAAATGTCACTTAAATCAAATGATCTTTAAACCTCGACCAGTTTAGTGTATTTCGGAGCGCGTCCTTCCACGTACGAATCAACGTACAAACATTTATGCAGTTTTATTTGAAGTGATTTAACGATGTTATGTACGGGATGTACAGATTACAGATTATACAACTAAATAGTCGGACTGTAATTTTCATTTTTGGCGGGTTTTTTTAAGGGATTTTATGACCTGGTAACTAAGACCTTTAGGTCATGTCTTATTACAATTTATATTTTTATTTTTGTAAAAAATGATAATAGGGAGTGAAATGAAATGAAGATGACTAATTTGAGACATTAATCAACTGCGATGAAATTAAATGAAAGGAGATAAGATGATATGGGATGAAATGTAATCTTAGTAAAATGGTGGTCATTTACTGAGATTTTTTTGTTAACTTTTTGGAGGATCCCGAGAAGTTACGTCCAGCGGCTTTGTTACATTTCTTGTTTTTTTTTTACTGCCTTTGTTTCATTTCCCCACATTTGTGCACTTTCACAGATATTAAACAGTTTGGCGGGTTTTCTGTCTGAACCACAGGTTATGCAATCTGTGTAGTGAACGCTACTAGTGGCTGTACGTCTACGATCTGACACACTATTATAATAATGATAATACAGTTATATATTTTATTTCTCTTACCTTTCATTACTAGATTATTTTTTTACCCCAAATTAGTTTAGATACATTACTAGTGGACTTTGTAGCTGCCACAAAAGAAACCTTAAATTTCTGGTTCTGTGCTTGTCAAAGTTCTAAAACGTCAACTGTCATAGCAATGTCATTTATTGATAACGATTGACAGTTTGTTTTATTTCGGGACGCGGTATCTTTGTAAACGCTCTTTTCCTATAAGTGAAAGTTATATCCTTTGTTTAGTTTATAGTAAAATGTTTAATTTCATCTATCGATCGACTAAACTGTCTGCCACGTTTTCCGTAACCATATATTGTAGTTCTGTGCTTAGGTACGCAATTGTAAATGTGAAATCAACACTAAATATTCAGATCTAGTTCACAGCGTTTAATTTTTAATTCACTGTTATTACGTAATTTTTCTATCGAAATAAAAAGCCTACGTCAATCTAAAAAAAAAAAAACCATCTCTTGTAATAAACTTAGAAGCAATAACCAACAAACACTCTTGCATTTGTAACGCTGTTTACTGTAATATTATTTGTAATGTTACTTTGACGTTTCATTTTTATATCATACAAGTTTCGTCTATGTTTTGACCTAATTGTACGCCATAAATAATGCCTTTTTGTTGGTCGATTATAAAATTAGTCAACTAAATCATGTTTCTAGACTTACTGGTGGTAGGACCTCTTGTGAGTCCGCGCGGGTAGGTACCACCGCCCTACCTATTTCTGCCGTGAAGCAGTAATGCGTTTCAGTTTGAAGGGTGGAGCAGCCTTTGTAACTATACTTGAGACCTTAGAACTTATATCTCAAGGGGGGTGACGCATTTACGTTGTAGATGTCTATGGGCTCCAGTAACCACTTAACACCAGGTGGGCTGTGAGCTCGCCCACCCATCTAAGCAATAAAAAAAAAAAAAGACTACGCTGCGGTCGACTTTCATTGAGTAGATCTAGGTGCTTCACAAGAACTCATTGACGTATTGGACCGATTATAAAAAAAAAAACATAATTTTCCAGGTCATTAGAGAAAGGTAATGGCGGCACCCCGAATGACAAACCGTCGGAGTCCTCGGCGAACTCTAACAAGGAACAAACAAAGAAACCTCACATAAAGAAACCACTAAACGCTTTCATGCTCTACATGAAGGAGATGAGGGCCAAGGTTGTCGCCGAATGTACCCTAAAGGAATCGGCGGCCATCAACCAGATATTAGGACGACGGGTGAGTTCGAAATTTGAAAACGTTCAAAATTATCTCTTATATAATTTATATAAAAATATATGTTTTTTATTTTTATATTAATAATAATTTTGTTTCCGATTGTACATTTAACTGGTAAAGTGTTTACGGTCAATTCAATCACGGAATTAATTAAAATGTATGCAAACGCTCTATTATTACAAAGGCATAATGATTTTTTCGATTCGTTTTCAATACGATACAAAAAATATAGTCGTAGTATTAAAAAAAAAAAATGTAACATAAAAATTGCTTTACTGTATAATAATTTTAACGTCCAATTTTCAACAAATCGATTTTTATTCGAGACGTTTCTCGAAATACGAAATTGTTTTACTTCCCATTAATTCTTCCGTCCATATCTCATTGTGTCTGTTACCCTTAGCGACACAATTCAAATGCAAATGTTTCTTCATTATAAAATACGTGTACTGGATTACGCCTTTGTTAAATCTTGTTAGGAATACGATTCGTCATTCCGAATGTAGTTTCGCATGAATTAGCAGACAATGCAACCTACCTCCATATCAGCAATCCGATAGATGAGTTTAACAATACAAATATATTGAAATTCGCGCCGGAACGAAATCCGATTCCTAACAAGAGTAGCAAGCGGCGTAGGCCTGTGCCTCGTCCATCTCCTTGTAACTCTCCTCGTGTCGTGACACGCAGTGGCACTCGTTGAGTCGCGAGGAACAAGCGAAATACTATGAGAAAGCGCGACAGGAGAGACAGCTCCATATGCAGCTGTACCCGGGCTGGAGCGCGCGTGACAACTACGGTTACGGTTCCAAAAAGAAAAAGCGGAAAAAGGACCGCAGTCCCGCTGAGCTGGGAGGTATTGGACCCTAGGACGTGACCCGACACGCGAGGGGCTGGGCTGCCATGTCACATGGACGCTTGTGTACACTCGCTTCTCCCCCACTGCCCCCGTCCCTCCCACTAACACTGTCGCTNCTGTACCCGGGCTGGAGCGCGCGTGACAACTACGGTTACGGTTCCAAAAAGAAAAAGCGGAAAAAGGACCGCAGTCCCGCTGAGCTGGGAGGTATTGGACCCTAGGACGTGACCCGACACGCGAGGGGCTGGGCTGCCATGTCACATGGACGCTTGTGTACACTCGCTTCTCCCCCACTGCCCCCGTCCCTCCCACTAACACTGTCGCTTGCTCGAGTGTCGGCCGGGCGCACGATTAACCGAGTCCACACTAACGTTCATGGAGCATCCGTAACCCGACCCGTCCCCGTATGTGAGTGTGCGTGTGTGTTAACGTTACGTGTATCGCGGCGCAGCGGCGCCTGTGCTAGAAAAGCGGCTGGAACCGTTGCTCACGAGTCGGAAGAGGGCGCGGCGCGGCGACGGTCCGCCCGACGCAGCGGCACGACGCCGCGACGCCGGCGGAACGCGCGCCGCGCCGCGCTCCTCGCTTGTCGTCTTCTCTGTACTGTGTAGTCGTCCAGTGAACGTGAATACCCACACATCCCCGGAAACTATATTGGTTTGTCGTATATGTCTAGACGAGACGCGACTCCGATTACCGACCGCAGAATAGGTTCTGTGAGGAACGACACGATTGGCCAATTTCATTTCGTAGGATCAAAATTATCGAGGGCTGTTTTTCTAGCACCAGCGTTAGGGGGGCGCGTGCCCGCCCGGTCTAGGTCTACCGTCCAAGTGCATTTCTCTTTTCTTTCCATATTGCGGTACAGTGGCATGCGCTCGGCCGCGAGGAACAAGCCAAGTATTACGAGCTGGCGCGCCGCGAACGCCAGCTACACATGCAACTCTATCCCGATTGGTCGTCTAGGGCAAATACGCAAAGGGGCAAGAAGAGGAAACGAAAACAGGAGACAACCGATGGAGGTACTGCCTAAGCTCCGCCGCTCCCTCTGTCCCACTCCCTCTGATCCCGTCGAGCCGAGCTCGTTCCCTCCTCGAGTCCCCGCGGCCGATGTCTCCTCACGGTTAGCTTCGATTCATTACAAAAATGAGGTTAATTAAAGAAGGATTAGCAGAGACGCTGGCCATTCCCCGCAGCCCCGACCCGCGGAGTTCAATCCTCTTGAACTCCGGACCGTATGACGATAATATTGCATAATGGTTCGAGGGGGTACAAGGTTGTAGTATATACAAGTATTTTGTTTAATTTATATTTATATCGCATACATATACTTATTTCCTTTAAACGCTATTACATTCTGACAATAGTGGCACTCCTTCGAAGGTTGTCCCGGTTTTTTGCTTTCCGTTTCGCTCCCAAAGCCGCCCGCGTTATTCCGGGCAGCGTGCATGTTTTATTCAGCACTCAAATATTTGAACCTTTGAGTAATTGCTTTGCAGGGATTTAGTAACGAGCTCTCGGCAAGGCTGGGACAGCCTTCTCGGAGTATATAAATGTGGCGAGAGATGGTACATTAAGCGTGCATGGTAAACGAAGACGGCACTCGTAACGATATCCGGCGTATAGAATAGAAGCCCACAGGACTATTAGTTACACAGCTGACGACTGCTTACGTATCTGCGGTCTTTGTTCTCTAATGATACTGGCCAAATGAAGTTCAATATTTATTTTGATTCCGGAGAACCTATTCTGCTTAAATGTTTTGCTTACAAGCGTCATTTTTTTTGGTTAATTTGTGATTACTTTTACAAAACTAGAGTTGCGTAGTTTGCATTTTATGTTCGATTGTTATTTTTGGAACCAATGTTTTTTCCGTTGTGCCCATTCATTTGTCCCTTTCCCACCTGCATGCTAATACTAACATGGGGTTTTTTGTTGCATGTGCTTCTTTGTACGAAGTAGCTGCATAGTATTATTATTATGTGTAGATTAGATTATTTTAAGATGCCTTTAGAGATCTTTGATGAATTTTTTTGTTAATCAGACCTATTTTTATATAAAATTTGTCATTTATTATTTGAGCTTACAAAAGCTTAAACTATTTTTTTTGGATAACTTTTTATTTCGATGATAACTTAGTAAAGTTTTAATTTGCATTTCGAATTATAATTTTTTTTTGCCTTCGCATAATATGATTTTCGCGCGATACCTCCACGTACTCAGAGTGTGTGCTAACAGAGTTTTTATGTGACACTTCCAGGGAATAATTTGAAGAAATGCAGAGCGAGGTTCGGCCTCGATCAGCAGAATCAGTGGTGCAAACCTTGCAGGTGAGTCTCGCGTCACGCACCCAACATTAGCGATTAGTAATTTTATCATTTATTTTCGCTTATGTGCTAAGTTCGATCGCGTTTAAAAAACGTTACCGTCGACGTGTAACCAACACGAGATCGGTACGGTATACCAAGGTTGTTTCTATGTGGAAAGACCCGGCTTACCTTTTTTGATGTTCATTCCAAAAGAGCTAAGTTCAGCCCGGTCGTATCGGCAAATCGATACCTGAGTAGATTGTTTTCATTTATTTTTATTTTAATATTTAATAACGATTTATTAAGGAAATCTAGTTGTGTACTCTCGTGGAGCGAGCGAAAGGGAAACGATCCAGAAAATGTGTCTTTTCACAAAGAAATAAGTTTCGGTGATATGCAAAAAAAAAAAAAACGGATATAACGCATAGATTTTTTTGAAAGTAGACGACTGATACATACAGTCGATCTGTAGTCTTAGGCGGGCAATCATTTGACCAGACCAGAGCGCGGTCGTTTTACGAGAAAAGGCAATCATTTGCGACGAAAGCTTTCAAAAAAATCTTGACACATTTTCTGAATATCGTTTCGCTTTGTACCTACTCTTGTACTTGTACGATGATTTCTCATTTTATTTTGTTTGTTTGTTATAAATCATTGTTTTTCGTTAACGATGAGATTATTTTGATTTATCTAATTGTATATAATGAATCAGTTGGATGAGTTTTTTTTTTAATAAATGATTATTATTGATCGAAATGTTTTTTCCACTTATGATTGCCGCTTCTCATGGACGGGTGCTGGATTCTGCGGGTACTATTGGTATTGTGTTTTCGAATTTCAATCAATCGTTTGTTTACTTAAACGTTACGTATTTTTATTAATCACCAAAACGCCACTTGATTCGATTGTCCTTTGAAATCTTCTCTACGCCTCTCTCTGTATTTCTTGTACTAAATAATTTTATACTAATTTTTATTTCACATTCTGTTCTGCTATTTCCTCATTGTGCCATCATTTGACATATATATATCTGTTACTTGCCCCTTGATTCGATTGTCCTTTGAAATCTTCTCTATGCCTCTCTCTGTATTTCTTGTACTAAATAATTTTATACTAATTTTTATTTCACATTCTGTTCTGCTATTTCCTCATTGTGCCATCATTTGACATATATATATCTGTTACTTGCCCCTTGATTCGATTGTCCTTTGAAATCTTCTCTACGCCTCTCTCTGTATTTCTTGTACTAAATACTTCTATACTAATTTTTATTTCGCATTCTCACCTACCCTTCCACTATTTGCTCATTGTTTCTTGTACTAAATAATTTTATACTGATTTTTATTTCGCATTTTAACTTACTCTGCCGCTATTTCCTCATTGTGCCATTATTTGACATACATATATCTGTTACGTTACAACGATGTGTCCTTTTTAATGAAAATTCTTTATAATAATAACTGTAATTTCACATGTTTCCTCCTGTAACTTTTTCGGCTAATTCGCCTAACAGTCCTGAATCAAGTAGCGTAATGGTGTCGGGCGGGTTAGGGCTCCTCCGGCCGGAGCCGGCGACCCCGCTGCCGGCGGCGAGCCTCGTGGGGAGCCCCCCACGGGAGCCGACGTACGTAAACCTCTAGTGCCGGCCCGCGCCCGCCGGACGTACGCTCACGGTCAGTCGACTACAAATGAAAATGTTCGTGTTTTAGCGTAGATAGTTTACGCACGGAATAACGCAGATAGAAGGGACTTTTTACTGATGGTAGGACCTATTGTGAGTCCGCACGGGTAGGTACCGCCACCGTGCCGTGAAGCGATAATGCGTGTCTGTTTGAAGGGTCGGGGTAGCCGTTGTAACTATACTGAGACCTTAGAACTTATATCTCAAGGCGGGTGGCGCATTTACGTTGTAAATATCTATTGGCTCTAGTAACCACTTAACACCTGGGTTGTGAGCTCGTCCATCCACAAATGTCATGTAATTTGACTGTCATTTCTAGTTTGTCTTTGTCATTTCTAGTTTAATTCTAGTGTTACATATATTCTGAATATATCAGACATCGGTTACCGTTCTATCTGCGTAATAATTCTGTGTATTATGAATGTTGTCTTTTCGGAATGATGTCGATTTGAGTTTTTTTTTTTGTTTATTTAATATCGACGCTTTTTTCTCTGCCTTCACATTAATTTCGTGCGTATGTATATTTTTAATTGACGATTTTAAATCTATTCGTTCCGCTGTTTTCTTTTTAGCTTCGTTATTAATATGATCTAATTTGTGATTTTTATTTCGCTTCCCTGTGTTGTTTGGTTTGACTAGTTTTTGGAATATAAAAACAGATAATTTAAATAATTTTGTAAGTGTATGAAAATATGGGTGAATTCTTATTTTATGATTAAGGTACCCGTATAGTTTTGTTTAACATTAGTGACTACTGCTTCCGTGGAATGCCTTTAGACGTTACGGCGTATTCTTAGTCCGGGAAAGTCCGGGCGTGCCTGAAGAAAAGATGATTAAAAACTTTCGACCCAACACTTTGGCTAATAGTGTGAGGATCTGAAATGAGGGATATATTTTTTGGATAATTAGCAATAAAACGTTTTTTTTCTTTGCTTTTTGAGATACGCAAATCTTACATTTATTATATCTGATGTTTCGTATACATTACAGTTTCCGTAGTCGCTGATTACTAAGCTTACTAAGCTCACTATAGTGGCATATCGATATCTCGAATGTCAAGGGAAATACAAAAACCTTCGACTTACTAGGTCTTCGACTTGACAAGGAGTTTGAGAAATTAAGTATTTAATGCCTATAATATCGATTTAAGAAGGTGCGATTTTTGAGTATATTTTTCGAAGTAATCAAAAAAAAATTAGATTTGAGTTTTATGGTAGTCACATAATAATATGTATTGCATTCTATTACTTTTTCGTATTTGGGTAATTCCCAGTAATACATAAGTCGTTATGTTTTATTAACTTCGACTTACAGGGTCTGATTTTGGAAATACGAGTTATCGAATATAATAATGTACTAAAATGCGGGAATAGGGATTTACTGGTGGTAGAACCTCTTGTGAGTCTGCGCGGGTAGGTACCGCCACCCTGCCTATTTCTGCCGTGAAACAGTAATGTGTTTCGGTTTGAAGGGCGGGGCAGCCGTTGTAACTATACCGAGATCTTAGAACTTAACTAAGGTGGGTGGCGCATTTACGTTGTAGATGTCTATAGGCTCCAGTAACTACTTAATACCAGATGGACTGTGAGCTCGTCCACCCATCTAGGCAATAAAAAATTTCAAAAAAAACTTGCCTATTGATTTGCATCCCACATTCCTGCGATGTTAAAGGATTGTGGAATTGAACCCCAATTGTGGTAAAGAAACGCCTTGCCGCACGAAATAGCAGCAATTCGTGTCCCAGTTATCTGTGTTGCGAATTAGCATCGCGCCGATTCGCAGTTTTGTGTACAAACCCTAATGCCGCGATTTGGGCATGAATTAACGTAGTGTACAACTTTCTTAATTTTTGTGTTTTTTGTAAGCTAAACCTTTACGCCATATGAGTCGACTATTATCAAAGCCGGCAATGTGACTTTTGGACAATTATTGGTAAATCAGAAAAACGAATTATTGACTTTGTATTCCATTGGCAGTCACAAAACTCTTCGGAACGACATCTTAGATAAATAACAGGTTAAGTATTAACCTTTATTTAATGCAGGTTTTGAACCGTATTCTTTGAAGGAGACGATTATATTCAAATCNGACTATTATCAAAGCCGGCAATGTGACTTTTGGACAATTATTGGTAAATCAGAAAAACGAATTATTGACTTTGTATTCCATTGGCAGTCACAAAACTCTTCGGAACGACATCTTAGATAAATAACAGGTTAAGTATTAACCTTTATTTAATGCAGGTTTTGAACCGTATTCTTTGAAGGAGACGATTATATTCAAATCAGTCTGTATTGAAATATCAATAACATTTTTTTGTCCAAATGCACAGATTGCCACCTTTGATAATAGACGACTCAATTATAGAGTTTGGTAGGAATACGAGTACTCATATTGCAATGGAGAGCATGTGTCGTCGTTTTATATATGTAAATCTCATTTAATAACAAATCGGCATGATTTTTGATGTGTTTTCTTTTTACGTTTTTATTTTTTTATTTTTTCTTATTAACTTGCGTGTCTCTGTGTTCAGTAGGCTTAGTGACTCTATTATAAATGGAACGTTTGATATTCTCTTACGTTGTTATTACGCGTTGATGCGCCGTCGCTTTTGCGATCGGAGACTGGAGAATATAAAACGTTCCCATGGAAGATTTGTTTGTTTAACTGTCTTTCCCGGTGTACAGGCGGAAGAAAAAGTGCATGCGGTACATGGAAGCACTGGCGGCGGCCGCGTCGGGCGGCGACAACCTCCCCACCCAGTCCCCCTGCTCTGAGGAGGACGTCAAGCTCGAGGAGATGTCGGACGCGTCCAGCGACGAAGCGGACACCGCGCTCAACTCGGCGTCCAGTCCGGGCGGGCTGAGCGCGCTGTCGTCGCTCGCGTCGCCCGCCTCCGAGCCGCCGGCCCGTCACCCGGTAGGTACGAACCCGCGTGACGTCAACAACCCCCTGTCCGTCGGCCAGCTGACGTCACAGAGCTGGCCCCGCGCCGCCCAGCCGCGTCCCACGCACGAGGTCATCTCCGTCTCGTAGTCCGGCGAGCGTGTTGGTTGTGATATTGAACTGTTGATGTTGTTGATCGCTCGATGACGTAGCGGATGTCGTCGCTCCCCCCCCCAACCCCCCTCTCTGATTCGGGTTTATTTGAACCGGGTGCTAAATTAACGTTTGCGATCTCTGACGTCGAGGAACATCGACATTTCGTGCGCGAACTTACCCGGAATCGTGTTTATGTCCGGGTCTATAAAAAATATTTTTTTTTTTGTTTATCGTGACACCGCCGATTGTGAGGCCTAATGTAAATTTTATCTACCTATGACCGAATGTGCGATGTTCCTCGAAATCAGGATTACTCTAAAAACGCGATGGTTACGTTTTCTGTTAATATGTTTTGTTTTTTTTATAAACACATTTGTGAATTTAACGCGAAAGTCTATTGTTTCGACCGCGCCCGAAACGTTTTCGCTAAAGGAATTTATTGTTTTCATTTGCTCTATAACTCACCACGACACACGAGTTCGCAGCGCGGCCGTAACTTTGCTTTTACGATGATAAATAGTCATATGATCTCAAAATCGCGAGCCCAAATCGAGTCATTTACAATGTATTATTTACCTCTATCCATATTTTTAGTTTCCAAATACGCTTCAGGAAATTTAATTGATAACAACGCCATCTAGCATCTTGTCCGTTAACTAAACACTATTAACGTAAATAATTCTTCATCAAGATAACAACTGACGTTTTAGTTCTAAAGATGAAATGTAGGTGGCGTTGAACTTGACTTTTCTTACTGTGCCTTTTACTGATTCTGGAAAGAAACTATTTAAGCATTGTACATGAATATACTACAAAAATAAACAAATATTTGGTTAGTAAAAGTATGGCATGGATCAAGACTAATTCTTAAAAACGATTTTCAACCGATCTTATAACCGCAATGAATATTATAATGACGATCTAAGCTGTCTAAAATTGTTTATAAGGCCTCAAAAATGAATTGTAATTTGACTTGAATCGTTCGAAATAAATATTTTTGATACTTTGACCAAATGACAAAGATTTATTAGCTCTCATCATTTTAATTCTATGTGAAGATTAAATCTAACATTTTATTTTAAGTTTAAGCTCACGAGTAGTGATGGTTTGATTGTTGCGGGAGAAAGGCAGCGATGTACCGATCGTTTGCAAACAATACAACCGATTGTCGATGTCATTGTCGATGTTCAGTTTGACACGGCCATCACTACCCATGAGTCGTTGCCTTTATAAGCTTCAGTAACATAAAATGCATGACGCGTAATTTTATTTAACTATTGAGGCCTCTGATTCTTCGTTTATCTGTCGGCCTGCACCAGACTAAGGTTCCATTTAGTGTTAGTTTCGGTTTAGTTTATAAATATTTTCCTTTCGCGGTAAGCGTGTAAAGTAATGTTAAGGCGGAGCGAAGGGAAAATTGTTTTTCCGTTGTGCGGAACATGTAGACTGTCATAGGTTAGATTAGAAACGTTGTATGAGTGAATTTTATTCAATTGATTGTGTACCGAACGCCCGTTATTTTATAGTTTCATTTTACTTGAACGTTCTTTTTGTTTTAAAGCGCCATCTATGTGACACCATTTAGTTTAAGTTATGACTGCTAGATGGCGCTAATTCGACATTTTTCCTAAACGTCTTTCGGTACACCTTCAAACTGTATATGTGTAAGTACATATATGATATAAATGTATAATATATATAGGTATAATCTAATTGTGTCATACTAGTTTAAGTGTATTATGCTAATTACATATGTATACATTTATTACGATATAAAAAGAAATTTTCAAAATGAAAATATTAGTTGGAAATAATGACTCGGGAGATATGAACACGGTTTTATTCGCAAGCTCCATTTAGATGTTGTATTTGTAAATAAATTTGTAATTCACTAATTGAATATTTAGGGACGTTTTTTTTTTTGGTATAAAAAAAATATTGCATTTATATTAATTATTATATGAAAAATAACACCCTCGGAATGTTCACGGACGGTTTTGTTTTATTCAACAAATAATTTTTTTTGTTAATTACTTTTTATTGTTATTATTAAGATTTTTAAACGTTGTTAAATGCAATATCGAGCCAGATTTTAAATGAAAAATAATAATAATAATTGTGCGTTTTGATTTGGATTTTATTACGGAAATTTTTAACTGACGATACATCGGAAACAACACTGCGTATCATTATCAGTTACCATGTGCTTGATTCGATGCGATTTGACTTTTACATGAAAAAGAATATATATTTGCATGTCCCGAAAACACAATGGAATTTCATGTTAGTTAATGTTACATATTAAATATAAACATATGACGTCAATATCGTAATTAGATATGTTTTTTAAATAATTATTGCTTAAATAAAAGAGAAAGATTTTATGTTTGTCAGCGGATATGGACATTTTTTTATTGACATTAAAAGTGTTTTCTTTTTTTTTTAAAACCATCTAGAACAAATTGTTTGGAAGTTGTCAGTTTGTGCCAAATTGAAAGAAAGAACAGGTTAATCCGGGATACCTCTCAATTCTGATCGTAATTAATATGTTGATAGATTTTATAAGTTGTTTTTTATTGTTAAGAAGGGTCAGTAAGGCTCATACGAGCAAGTTACAATTTATGTTTAGTAGAAGAAGAAAATTAAGAAGAAATAAAATTATGTTTTCAAATTAGAAAAAAAAAGAGACGATAATAATAAAAACTCAATCTTACTAGGTCTGATCCCATTTCTTGTGTTCAGTTGAACGAATATTATTTTAATAAACAACTTAAAAATTGTATGAGATTTGTTGTTTTATTCTCGAGGAATGAAATTCTCGGGGAAACCTTGATTGATGATTGTGGCGTGTTACTAATATATTTCTCACGGATCGTTTGGAGCCTCTGGGTCTGCGGAGGGACAACGGGTCCCTCTGTATTCTGTACCGTATGTTCCATGGGGAGTGCTCTGAGGAATTGTTCGAGATGATACCGGCATCTCGTTTTTACCATCGCACCGCCCGCCACCGGAGTAGAGTTCATCCGTACTACCTGGAGCCACTGCGGTCATCCACAGTGCGTTTCCAGAGATCTTTTTTGCCACGTACCATCCGGCTATGGAATGAGCTCCCCTCCACGGTGTTTCCCGANTGCCACGTACCATCCGGCTATGGAATGAGCTCCCCTCCACGGTGTTTCCCGAGCGCTATGACATGTCCTTCTTCAAACGAGGCTTATGGAGAGTATTAAGCGGTAGGCAGCGGCTTGGCTCTGCCCCTGGCATTGCTGAAGTCCATGGGCGACGGTAACCACTCACCATCAGGTGGGCCGTATGCTCGTCTGCCTACAATGGCAAAAAAAAAAAAAAATCCACACCTATACGCCGGTAGCCTAAGGTACGCCCGGACGGGGAGGTGAGGTCACGGGCTCAACCTGAGAGAATTGCTAACACTAGCCCTAGCAGGAGCAGTGCTTCGCAGAATCTACCACCGGATCGGAATCGCGACCCACTGAGAAGATCCGGCGAGAAACTCAGTGGGCTATGTCAGAGGGTTAATTTACTCGTCGAGCCCTTCGTCGCAAGCGACGGGTTCGACGAGGACGGTGACCGGTGCTTGTCGTACGTAAAGGCGCCGTTAATGAATCGGGAGGATCCGTAATGACGTGTTTAGGGCAGGAATCCCCATCAGACATGTCTAGTGATATTTAGATTTTGAACATATATACAGTTTTTGTTTGGCGACTGAATCGCCAATGTACATGTTTAATGTATGCTAGATCGCGTTCTTGGAAATAAATACTGTCTCCAAATACCTATTGAAAAATAATCGTAAAATAAAGCTAAGAAAATAACAACAATTAGTTTCATCTTCTTTTTTTGTTATCCTATTAATACTGGTGAAGAAGAGCAGTGTTTCCCAACCTTTTATGTGCCATGCCCCACTGTAACATTTCTAAAAATTTTATGCCCCCATACATAATTTTTAACATAAAAAAATTGATTTGTTCACTTCAGAAACATAAATGATAAGTTTTAAGAAGAAATCACTATGATATTGTTATCAGAACACGGCAAGTAATATTTCAAAACATATAATAAAAAACTGAAATTCAAATTCAAAATAATTTTAATTCAGATTTTCTATATTAATTTAGTGCGATCGCCCCCTTTAATTATCAAATTGGCCCCTTGTGGGGCGTGGGTCTCACGTTGGGAAACAGCGTATTAGAGCGAAGTTGTAAAATTATTGTGTCATTGATCCTTAATGAGTGTGAAATTTTAAGGTTAATCTGACGTCGATGTCGGTCAAAATGACGTTCAAAGTTACATACAAACAAACGTACATAAGTACTATTTGAAATCACTAATATTCTACCATTTTAGCTGAAGTGGGTATTGTTTTACGGAGACAGGTTGGTGCTGTATACATTACATGCACTGAAACTTGAACCTTAATTTAAAAACAAATAAAACACAATATCGATTATATAATTTACTTTGTGACGATACATAAAGACAAACATTTAGATAAACATGTAGAAAATATTACAAAATGGTGATACAAATCGCAAGACTAATTTGTAGACATGCTAATATTCCCAAAAAACGTTTCTTACAAACTTTTGAGGTTTACAATTTACTTTGTGGAAGTCATTTTTTTTTCAAATTATCTTTTTTTTGATTACCGAGTGAAACTTAAAGCAATCTAATCTAATCTAGTAATAACAAACAAAACATAATTTAACATATTATGATTTTAACAAATTACATTCGAATGGTAACACCAGACACTGATGTTGCCAGATTAGCCTCAAATTAATAACCAAAATCAAGGTGTGATGACATTTTAGAACTTTTAAATTTAATACGCAGTTAACTATAACAGCTATTTTAAGAGTAAATGCAAAACAATTATTTAAATAGATGAAATAAAAAAAAAAAAAGATTTCTTATAAATAAATAAAAAAATCTTTATCAATATTTTTCCAAACTTTAAACGACTTGTGTTTTGGACATTCCAAATATAAAATCGATTTAATTCTGTTAACTGAAATTTAAATAAAAAAATGTATGTCAAATAATAACTAATGTAGATTCCGTATGTTGTTCTTGCCAGTGCTCTAAATTTAATTTTCACTAAAGCAAATCCACAAATAACCAATCATTACAACGAACATTAAAACTTAATAATATTATAAAGTATTATCATTATTAAACATTCATTTACTAGTTAAAATAAACATTCGAAAAATGCTACTACGTAATCAGTGTTGCTAGTAATCAAAATGTTATTATACTTTATAAACGAGTACATTTTTATTGTGGTATATTAGAATTTTATCCACGCCGCAAAATATCAATTCTACATTCACGATTATATTCATATTAAACAAAATCATCTCAAACATTCACTTATTTAGGGTAAAAAGTCCCAAATTTTTAGGGAAAATATATAAGACCACAACTACAGAGCCTTCTGCTTTCTTAGTCATAAAGAGAACGTAATATTAATGTGTCATTCGAAACACAGTTCTGACGTACTAATTAATCTAACACTAATAAGCTTTGGATTACAAACAAAGTCTAATGAAGTTGATGTTGCTCGCTAGCCCTAAGCCAAACTCTACTTGTGAAAAAGGTTCAATAAAATAAAATAAAAAATGTGAAGGAATATTAGATTAAAAACGCACAGGGAACTGTGCGATTAATGGCTTTTTTTAATTTTTTATTTATTGCTTGAATGGGTGGACGAGCTCACGGCCCGCTTGAACTTAAGTGGTTACCGGAGCCCGTAGACATCTACAATGTAAATGCCGCCACCCACCTTGAGACATGAGTTGTAAGGTCTCACTTTTAACAGTACAACGGCTGCCCCGCCCTACAAACCGAAACGCATTACTGGTTCACGGCAGAAAATGGGCAGGGTGGTGGTACCTACCCGTGCAGACTCACAAATCCTACCACCAGTAACCCAGGCTATAGAGATATTCGAAAAACATCACACATAACTTGGTTCTGAAGTCGAAAATTCAAATAAAACTGTGTTGCTGGATTCTATACAAAATATTACCAAATAGTGTTGCCGTATTCTGCACACAATATTACCGAACTGATCAACGACGTTGAATTTCATAGTCAGGTCGGTTCGTGCTACATAAAATATGTAACTACTAAATATTCGTGGAACTAAAGATTTTTTTCACAAGTAGACTGACACCGCGCCCGTGCCGTGAAGCTAGGGCGGCTCCGGTCCGGTTTGATCCGGTTCCGTCCGGGTTTGATCCGGTTCCTACCAGAGCCCGGAGGACTTGCCGCCCGGCGGGTTGCGGACGCGAACCGAAGTCTTGGTGTCGAGTCCTTCAGTCTCTTCTGTAAAGTACAACTCTTATCAGTAGCTGTTGAGATACAGCAGTTATACAACAATGCTTACCAGTAGAACATCTTTGTCGTTTTTATTTTTTATTGCTTAGATGGGTGGATGAGCTCACAGCCCACCTGGTTTTGAGTGGTTACTGGAGCCCATAGACAACTACAACGTAAATGCGCCACTCACCAAGTTCTAAGGTATCAAGTATAGTTACAACGGCTGCACCACCCTTCAAACCGAAACGCATTACTACCTCACGGCAGGCAGGTTGGTGGTACCTACCCGCGCGGACTTACAACACGTTCTACCACCAGTAATTACGCAAATTATAATTTTGCGGGTTTGATTTTTATTACACGACGTTATTCCTTCATCGTGGAAGTCAATCGTGAACATTTGTTGAGTACGTATTTCGTTAGAAAAATTGGTACCCGCCTGCGGGATTCGAACACCGGTGCATCGCTCAACACGCATGCACCGGACGTCTTATCCTTTAGGCCACGACGACATCATAACTTCTCTAAAAACATTGTGAAATACTTCACCAGTGTGCTTAGTGCAAGCTTTTTAATGTTCTCGATACAGTAGATTAGGGAGAATAGAGATTAGAGTTAGAACAGGGACAAATCTGGGATGTCACAATACTTTTGTTTAGTTGTTAGATTTAATTTTGTTGAACTGAAAATGACTTTTATTTAGTGTTTAAGTTTTATTATTCAATAGTTTAATTTAGTCACCAAAGTTTTGTAACTCATCAAAGATATTAAAAAGTTAAGTAGGACCTCTTGTGAGTCCGCGCCACCACCACCCTGTCTATTTCGGCCGTGAAGCAGTAATGCGTTTCGGCTTGAAGGGTAGGGCAGCCGTTGTAATACTGAGACCTTAGAACGCATATCTCAAGGTGGCTGTACGTTGTAGATGTCTATGGGCTCCGGTAACCACTTAACACTAGGTGGGCCGTGGGCTCGTCCACACATATCTATATATATATATAAAAATAATAGCTGTTCGTTAGTATCGCTAAAACTCGAGAACGGCTGGACAGATTTAGCTAATTTTGGTCTTGAATTATTTGTGGAAGTCCAGAGAAGGTTTAAAAGATAGATAAATATGAAAATGCTCGGAATTAAATAAAAATAACAATTTTATTTTTCCTTTGATGTGTCATCCGTCGATCGGATTCTTTTTGTTTGTTTTAAGTTTATTTTATATAAAAGTTTAGGTCTTTTATGTATCGATTGAGGCACTACGAAGTCTGCCGGGTCAGCTAGTAAGTAATAAAAAAAACTGCAGCTTCGACTTACTGCTGATAGAGAAGGTGGAGTTTTGCAAGTCCCTCTGCATGGGGTCCCTCATTTTCCGTCCGGTCGGGGTGCTACAGCCGGATGACGTCACGCTCAGACCTTCGAGATGCTTGTTCACGAGGGCCAGGTCTGTTAGGGGAATCCCACACACAACTATATTAGTTATCGCTGTGAATCGTCGCACACAGTGGGCTCACGTCACGCACCTTTAGAATTATAGAGAGCCATTTCGAAATTTTTGGATTCGGTCTTTAATTAAAAAATGGACCTAGAACGACCCTTTTCTTTTTCTTTTTTATTGGCCTTGTAGGCAGACGAGCATACGGCCCACCTGATGGTGAGTGGTTACCGTCGCCCATGGACTTCAGCAATGCCAAGGGCAGAGCCAAGCCGCTGCCTACCGCTTAATACTCTCCATAAGCCTCGTTTGAAGAAGGACATGTCATAGCGCTCGGGAAACACCGTGGAGGGGAGCTCATTCCATAGCCGGATGGTACGTGGCAAAAAATGAACTGCGACTCTTAATGATCAAACGACCAAAAGTTGCTTATAAAGGGACAACGCTATCCATCGGTCTCTTTCATTCCGTCCCTTTCCTCTAGGTTTTTTCGGTTGAAAACTTTAATCGATGTATTCAAAAAAAAAACGCATTTTTTTGGTTAGGTCTTTATAATTTTAAAGTTGCGACGTGTTGTTAATTATTTAACGCCACATGACCATCGGTTACAGATCTAAAGGTGTTTCAAGTATTGAAGCCATTCATGAATTAACCTTAACTAATTAACTAGGAAACAAATCACGCACGATCATCTGGTCCTAAATTAAAATTCCCTGGGTTATGGGTACCTACTTAAGACTGACATATATACTGAGACTGATATACGTTTAAATAGTACATAACATTTATATATAACGAGCCTTACTCGCCCGCTTCGCTGGGCATTTAAAATTAACATTATTATTTATTGTCATTATTATTAGGGAGTCCAACACTCATATAAATATTAGCCTATCCATTAAGTACATGTATTTTCTACATGGATAACAAGTTTCAAGTCAATCGGATCCATGGGTCAGTAGTTATAACGGAACATCCGTAAAAACCACTGTAGATTTATATATTAGTATAGATGAACGACCAGATAAAGAGCAAACAAAACTATTCATCACACGAATGTTTGCCCGATGTGGGAATCGAACCCACGACCCTCGGCGTAACAGCCGGGGGCATTAACTATTGCACCACCGAGTCAATTCTTGAACGACATATCTTATTTTGTCGTTTTTAATTGGCACAGCAATAGGGTCATGCCCACTGAGTTTCTCGCCGGATCTTCTCAGGGGGTCGCGTTTCCGATCCGGTGGTAGATTCTGCGAAGCACTACTCTTGCTGGGGTCAGTGTCAGCATCACTCCGGTTTGAGCCCCGTGAGCTCACCTACTAGTTAAGGTTACGCTGAAACAATTATACTCTCTTTCGCTCTCCACTGACCGGTTGGCACGGAGGAACCGTTGACTCTATCAGGGGAATCCCGGCTTAGCGGCTCGAGCAGGTCGTGGTCGGCGTGCGATAGATTCTGCTCCCCGTAAACGTACGGACTGTTTATTGGGGTCTTCAGGAACTTGCCTAGACCTGAAAGCGAATAATAATCATTAAAAAAAATAATGAAAATTTCATTGAGATATGGCAACATTAAATTGTCATCGTCGCACCCGTCACTTTTTTTTTTTTAAGAGATTTTATGACCTGGTAACTGAGACCTTTAAGTCATGTCTTATTTTAATTTATATTCATATTTTTATGAAAAATGATATTATGGAGTGAAATGAAATGAAGATGATTAATTTGAGACATTAATCAACTGGGATGAAATTAAATGAAATGAAATGAGATGATACGGGATGAAGTATAATCTCAGTAAAATGGTGGTCATTTACTAAGATTTTTTCAGTGGATTTTTTGGAGGATCGCGAGAAGTTACGTCCAGCGGCTTTATTTCATTTTCCCACATTTGTGCACTTTCACAGATATTAAACAGTTAATAAACCACCATTATTACACATTTAAACCCGAAGAGACACTAAATAGACAAAATAAAACAAATCACACAACTTCACTCCTCGCGTTCCCGCCAAAAAGTCCTGAATCCGTCACTTGCGACGAAGGGTTGCGAGTAAATGAACCCACAGACACAGCCCACAGAGTTTCTCTACTACTACTACACTTAAGTGGCGTACCTTCAACGACTCTGAGTTCTCCATCGTCCAGACACACCCTGCCGTTCACGATGACGTACTGCGGCCCGCCGACCACGTGCTGACCCTGGAACAGACCAGATCCAACCACGTCACCATCCATCATCATAACCGGTTCAGGGTATTGAATTGCTACTATATATCGTCTTCTCGCATTAAAACTATATAATCTCAAAACTTACTAATTTTACAGGAGAGTGTTTTAAAGGTTTAACATGTGGTATTTTTAATATTAATCATCTTTCCAGCATTCATTTACCAGTTACATTATATCTTTTAAAGAAAGATAAAATTATGTATTAACTTTATTAATAATACTCAAAATATAGGTAAACTAAACTAAAATAGATAAATAAAAAAACTAAAACTGAACTACGCTCTTTTGGCAGTATTTATGAGAAAAATACTGATGATACCAAATTATTCCACATATTAACTCAAATTCGAACATTTTTGAAAATTGTAGACTTTTAATGCGAAAAGACGAAATATTGTAATAAAAAGAAACGAATTTAGGGTTTTTAAAAATAATTTTTTGGGCGGCTGGCCTTATTAGACAGACAGTAATATCAAGAGAGTTCGGACAGAGCTTCCGCACGCTACGACGGCTGGCGAGATAAGAGGGCGAGCACTTTTTTTTTGTTTATCCTATGCTGATAGCCTTGAGCGGCTATTTCAGCTTCGCCCTAACATGTAGGTGAGCTCGCGGGGCTCAACCGGAGTGTTGCTAACACTGACCCTAGCAAGAGCAGTGCTTCGCAGAATCTACCATCGGATCGGAAACGCGACCCACTGAGAAGATCCGGCGAGAAATTCAGTGGGCTGTGTCTATGGGTTAATTCGCTCGTCGAGCCCTTCGTCGAAAGCGACGGGTTCGGCGAGGACGGTGACCGGTGCTTGTGGTGCCTAAAAGCACCGTTAATAGATCGGGAGGATCCGTAATGACGTGCTTTGGGCGACATCGGCGAGGGCGAGCACAGCGAATACAGCTCCTTAAAAAGGCGGTCGTAGTGTTGCTACTTTGTATTTTCATTTTCTTCCAACAATATTGTTACGCTGGTAAGAGCAACGCCATCTATTGCTGAATAGCCAAAACGAATATCAAAAGATATAGTAACATCTAAAACGCTCGATAAGTACAACGCTATCTATTGGTTAGACCGCGGGAGCACGCATCGAAAGTGCTCGACTTGTGAGGAATGTTCTCGACAGTTCTAGGGATGTCGTATCGGCTATAAAAGCGTTGTAAAGATGGCACGCAGTCAGTTAGTAATCGGAACTACTCGAAGCGAAACAGCGAACGGATCACCTGAAGCGAAGCGGAAGAAGCGAATTGAGAATTTTTAAGCTTAAGTTGTGTGTGTTCTAAGTGATAAATACAGTTTTAAGTTATACTTTGGTGGAACATTTATTTATCCCAAGCCCCAGCGCGGAACAATATCATATCCATATCATATCAGACAGTGTTGTAATAAGCATCTCTCCCTCTCGCTAAACGCAGTGACTCATATAGTGATGGTTACTCAGTTAACATTATTTCATTATATTATTTATTGAATTAGTTCTTTTATTTAATTTTAATTTTATATTAGTAGTTGATAATTTTAATTTTAATAAGTTTAATTCAATTTCATTTGATTTTTATTTTTTAATAATTCTGATAAATTTGCGATTTTGATTTTGTTTTAATTTAAATATTGTATATGTGAAAATTTTTGGGCTAAAGTCACCGAAATAAACGCATTTCATTTCATTTCCGTCTTTGCACATGAAGTCCATGAGTGAAAGGAACTCTAAATGAAGAAACAGAAAAAGTCTCTTCCTGTGGTACGATGCTATTTATGTATGGAGTTTTTTTTTTTATTGCTTAGATGAGTGGACGAGCTCACAGCCCACCTGATGTTAAGTGGTTACTGGAGCCCATAGACATCTACAATGTAAATGCGCCACCCACCTTGCGATATAAGTTGTAAGTTGTAAGTGTTGTATATAACCTGATTGATGATTAACGTCAGACAGACGGCGGATGGTATAACTTTTTAACTTTTATTGCTCTAGTAGGCAGACGAGCGTACGGCCCACCTGACAAACGTGATTGATGTACTCAATATTTCTCTTAGCTTGATTACCCTATTCGGCCCTACGATGTGCGACAATGGTGTTAATAATGCGGTTTTTTTTATAGCTAAAATGGGTAGACGAGCTCATAGCCCACCTGGTGTTAAGTGGTTATTGGAGCCCATAGACATCTACAGCGTAAATGCGCCACCCACCTTGAGATATAAGTTCTAAGGTCTCAGTATAGTTACAACGGCTGCCCCGCCCTTCAAACCGAAACGCATTACTGCTTCACGGCAGAAATAGGCAGGGTGGTGGTACCTACCCGCGCGGACTCACAAGAGGTCCTACTACCAGTAAAAAGTATTTATTAGTAATGTGGTTTCTCCGACATTCACCTCGAAGATGTTGAAGTCAACCGCCTGCTTGTGGCTGGCGGCGGTTATGGTCTTCTCAAGGCGCGGGTCCCAGACAACGATGTCAGCGTCGCTGTTGACCGCCACGCGCCCCTTCTGCGGCCACAGGTTGAAGATCTTAGCGGCGCTGGAGCTGGTCACCGCCACGAACCGGCACGGGTCCATTATTCCTGCAAACGGAATGGGACCACCGTTGAAGTTGGCTTGAACGCGCTGCAAGAGCCAGCTGCCGTAGCTAGGTACCTATACTGACAGCCTTGAGAGGCTATTTCAGCGTAACCCTAACGTGTAGGTGAGCTCACGGGGCTCAGACCGGGAGTGTTGCTAACACTGACCCTAGCAAGAGCAGTGCTTCGCAGAATCTACCAGCTAATCGGAAACGCGACCCACTGAGAAGATCCGGCGAGAAACTCAGTGGGCTGTGTCTATGGGTTAATTCGCTCGTCGAGCCCTTCGTCGCAAGCGACGGATTCAACGAGGACGGTGACCGGTACATGGATACACAAATTATAATGTTTGCGGGTTTGATTTTTATTACACAATGTTGTTTCTTCACCGTGGAAGTCAATCGTGAGCATTTGTTAAATACGTATTTCATTAGAAAAATTGGTACCCGCCTGCGGGATTCGAACACCGGTACATCGCTACACACGAATGCACCAGACGTCTTATCCTTTAGGCCACGACGACTTAGGTAGGCTAGGTGCGGCTTATAATTACCAGTGTTGACTCCCTTCTGCCACAATATGGTCATGCGGTCTTCGACTCCATTAACGCCATTCGGAATCTTGGAGAAGTTCCCTTTGCCGATTTCCTTGTCTTTCTCGTGGAACGTGCAGTTGTCGCTGCCGATCAGCTGTAAGTGGTCACTGCGAACAGAACACAGGTCAGTGGGCTTGCATTACATATTGCTTGAGAAGAGAGTCACAATCTTGAGCAGCTGATGGTGACGAGCAAAAGATCCCAGACGTCCCAGAGGACGCAGTCCCACGAGATGGAAAGATGAGTCATGAGTGAATGTGTGAGATGGAAATTCGGTCTTGTCTGGACGTTAAGTTCCACGATCACGAAGCCAAGAATCGCAGTAGATGGGGAGAAATTCTATCTATATAATGCTGCAAAGCAGTGGGCTTTCACCCCTCGATATGATCTATGGTTAGCTTGCCCCTATCTTTGGCCACAAATGACGTCACACGTAAATAGATTGGGTTCGACTTTTGTATTTGGCTAATGGCTAATTTTTGATTAATCGAGACCCGTTGAGGTTTTATTTGGGAATTATTGGTAAGACTTACTCGGCCAGCGCTTCCACCATGGCTTGAGGAGTGGACGGGTCAGGTCTCAGTGGAGGAGAGAGCACGTGGGCGGCCGCGTGACGGAAACAAGAGTTCCGGTAATGAGTACCTGGAAAAAAAAAAGTGGTGTTTATATAATATATTACGTAGATAAAAGAATTCATTAATAAATCTTATTAAATTTATTGGAATCTATCTCTTTCACACACAGCCTTGGCACGTGAGCATTGACGTCATTATTGTTTAGTGTTTTTTTACTGGTGATCCTGAGGCCTTTCCAGTTTCACCAGAACAGGTGGGCGAGTAAGGGCTCAGTCAGGAGGGGTGGGATTTGCTAACAACTGCCCGAGCGCCTCCGAAGGAAACCTAACAATCCAAGAGTAGCTGCTTCGCGAATGAATCTACCACCGGATCGGAATCGCGACCGCTGAGAAGATCCGGCGAGAAACTCAGTGGGCTGATGTTTAGGTTAGGTTGCGCGTCGAACTCTTTGTCGAGTTGGACGAGTACATATGAGGGAACCTGAATGCCTGCCTTCAGAGATGCGAGTCTTAATTGTATTGATCCGAAAAACAGTGCTTCGCGGCGGCATAGGCGAGATGGTTGTGCCTATTCGAGTGGGTCTACACACAAGTGACGTCACACAAAAATATTGGGCCTAGCTAGACCATGGACTTTGAGCTCGTGGAATTAAAGATGATTGCATTAATACGGCGTGTTCGATTACTAATAAAGATTAATATGGAAATTTTTGAAGGTAATGAAGATTAATATGGAAAGTCTTAACCTACGGACACATCCCACTGTGTTTCTCGCCGGATCTTCTCTGTGGGTCGCGTTTCCGATCCGGTGGTAGAAGCACTGTTCTTGCTAGGCCAGTGTTAGCAACACTCTGGTTTGAGCTCCGTGAGCTCACCTACACGTTAGGGTGAAGCTGATATAGTCTCTCAAGGCTATCAGAATAGGTAGAAAAAAAAATTGGAAATTCTTCAAGGTAACTGAATACACACCATCGGTACCGACAGTGGCGGCCAGAGTTTCACCATATACAGGCTGCTTCTGTTTGTTGCGCGCCAGTTGGAGAGCTCGGACTGCGCTCTTCGACATCATGTGCACTATATACAGGGGGCTGTTTGCCTGAAAATTTAATTAATATAATTTATTTATTTGGGATAACCAATAGTACAAAACAAACATATAATATTTTAAAAAAATTAGCTAAAACAATAACCAAACATGTTTCCACCATCAAAATTACATATAAGAGAGTGAACAAAAGAAAAGAAAAAAAGGAAAATATAATATAATGTAATACATATAATAAATATAATATAAAAAAATATATTACTGGTGGTAGGACCTCTTGTGAGTCCGCACGGGTAGGTACCACCACGCTGCTTATTCCTGCCATGAAGCAGTAATGCGTTTTGGTTTGGGGCTTAGCCGTAGTACTGTTAAAACTGAGACCTTAGAACTCATGTCTCAAGGTGGGTGGCGGTATTTACGTTGTAGATGTCTATGGGCTCCGGTTACCACATAACACCAGATGGGCCTTGAGCTCGTCCAACCATCTAAGCTATAAAAAAATTAAATTTTATCCGGCCATTGCTTAGCTCCATGAGTGTCTGGTCTTATAGGTACATAAAATATACATATAGGAAACTAAACATGATGCGTCCACTATAGTTGTAAGAACCTGATTGGCGATGACGCATGCCCTGTTCACGGCCTCGCTTTCGACTTCCTCGTCTCTGGAGAGCTGATGACCCTCGGGCCTGGTCACTCCGGCCGCGAGGAGCTTCTCGGTGTTGCGAGCTATGATGTGGCCGTTCTCTGCGTGGACCTGAGATAATGTGAACAGAAAAAGAATAAGAAATCAAGCAGGGAAATAATTACTATGAATCGGTACCGACTACTGCCCTTCATGCGGCCAATGATCGGAGGCGCTAGCGGGACATTACAAGGAGCAAAATCCTGATGACATATAATAGTCACGACTTTCAGCAGTTCGGAAATGACGCGAGGAGGAGGAGGACTGCACTAAAGATTGAATTAAAATCAGTGACTGGTAAGGTTCTTTTAATATTGTCAGCTTAGAATAGTAGAGGCCTATGCTGATGGCCTTGAGAGACCATTTCAGCGTAGCCGGGCGAGTAGGTGAGCTCAGGAGGCTCAAACCTGATGTTGTTGCTAACACGAACCCTAGCAAGCGCCGTGCTTCGCAGAATTTACCACCGTATTGGAAACGCAACCCACTGAGAAAATCCGGCGAGAAACTCAGTGGGCTATGTCTGTGGGTTAATTTACTCGGCGAGCCCTTCGTCGCAAGCGATGAGTTCGACGAGAACGATGACAGGTGCTTAAGGTACCTAAAAGCACCGTTAGTGGATCGGGAGAATCCGAAATGACGTGGGGGTGCTATAAAAGCGATTAAGGGATTTACAGAGGAGAATGAGCAATAACAACCTCAGATAATTCTACCAGTGTACTGCTATCGCCTCTCGACATTTCCTGGGTAGGACTTAGTGTACTAAAATCCTTGCTATTTCAAAAGACTTCGAACTAAATTAGCCGAGTCGGTGCTGGAGTACTTAGAACTCTGGACAGCTGAGCCGAGGGCCATGAGCTGCTCGGGTAAGAATTCGGTTTGTTTATTTTTGTGGTGTCCAATATTCAAATGAATATTAATCTCATGTTCACACAGTAGAGGGTATCCTAGTTTGTCACGTGTGACCTGACCCTGGTCATTATTATAATATCTCAATGTAACCACAGAGCAATGGCTCCCGAGTCCTCCCTCGCCATGAAAGATAAGCTGAAAATTAAAAAGATCGAGACGCGTGATGCGGAATTTAATGCATTAGAAAGAGATAGAGAGTTAGTGGCGAGTGTACGTGCACTGAACGATAAAACTCCCATAAATTTGCATTATTATTATTAGAAATCTATTTACTTGGGGCAGGGCTTTGAGTTCAGCACAGGTCTCGATGGCGCAGTACAGGTCGTAGTCGTCGAGCATCCAGGTGTTCCGGTACGCCATGAACATCTTGAATGAGTTCACGCCGTACTGCTCGGAGACCAGCTGCTTCATCTCCTTCTGCACGGCCGGCGACCACCAGGTCACTCCTACGTGGAGACCGTAGTCGCAGCACACCTAGATGTGAATTTTTGGTGTACTCGGTGTCGAGTGAGGCAAGTATACCGGTGTTGACAAATGATTTCCTCGATGAAGGAGTACTGTTATCATCCTGACTAATTCTGCCGCGAAACAGACCACTTTGAAGAGCGGGAGAGTTTGACCTTATGTCACAACTCACAAGGTAGCGGTATTCACAGTTCGTAAACACTGACGAGAGCTTTGAGTGTATCGAACTAAAAAAAATTCGCAAAGCAAATTCGATGCTGTTAAAATTCTTTTTAGAATTGTCTTGTGTATTTATGAAATTTATGGGTTAAGAGAGCCAGCAAAGAGCTTGTGGTAGGTGAGTTTCCTATGCCTTTAAAAAAGAGCTTAAAAATCAATGTATTAAGGTGTTGTTTTGTTTATACAGTTTTGTAGATATCGTCGATGTCAAACGAATATGTATCGGCTAAGCAGTTTCTTAGAGCGCACCGATTTCGGTTCTTATAAATGAATTATGTATTAATTAATTTTATTCATCATCATCATCATCAGCCTGCGGCAGTCCACTGCTGGACATAGGCCTCCCCCAAAGCTCGCCACTGAACCCGATCTTCGGTTCTACGCATCCAGTTACTGCCAGCTGCCTTGCGTAGGTCGTCGCTCCATCTAGCAGGAGGGCGTCCTACACTACGTTTGCCGGTTCGCGGTCTCCACTCCAGAACACGTCTACCCCAACGGTTATCGGTTCTGCGACATATGTGACCAGCCCACTGCCACTTCAGCTTACTAACTCTGCGAGCTATATCGATCACTTTGGTTTTTGCCCGAATGACCTCATTGCGTATTCGGTCTCGCAATGACAAACCGAGCATAGCTCGCTCCATAGCTCGCTGAGTAACTTTTAATTGGTGGACTAGTCGCACAGTCAGTGTCCACGTTTCGGCTCCGTAGGTAAGCACGGGTAGGACGCACTGATTATAGACCTTTGTCTTCAGACATTGTGGTATGGGCGACGAAAAGACCTGACGAAGCTTCCCGAACGCTGCCCAGCCCAACTGAATCCTTCTGGTCACTTCCTTCTCAAAGTTGTTTCTACCTAGTTGTAGGGTCTGTCCCAGGTAGACATACTCTTGAACAACTTCGAGAGGTGTACCGCCAACATCGATTGGTCTCGGAATGACGTTTCCGTTAAACATTACCTTGGTTTTATCCAAGTTCATTCCGAGGCCAACCCGTTGGGATGCAGCATTAAGGCTGTGCACCATCTCTTGTAAGTCCTGCAGCGATTCCGCCATGATGACGATATCATCGGCAAAGCGAAGATGTGAGATGTACTCGCCGTTTATGTTAATGCCGCGTCCGTTCCAGTCCAGAGTCTTGAAAACGTCCTCCAGTGCGTTTGTAAACAGTTTCGGGGATATAATATCCCCCTGTCTTACACCTCTGCGCAACTGGATTGGTCTCGTCTGGTCTTTCTGTACTTGGACGGTCATTGTAGCGGCATCGTACAGGCATCTTAGTGCATCGATGTATCGCCAGTCAGCTTGACACCGCTGCAAAGATTCCAGAACAGCCCAGGTCTCGATCGAGTCAAAGGCTTTCTCGTAGTCCACAAACGCCAGACATAGTGGCAGATTATACTCTTCAGTCTTCTGTATAATCTGCCGAACTGTGTGAATGTGGTCCACGGTACCAAATCCTCTTCGGAATCCTGCCTGCTCCGGAGGCTGGAAGTCGTCAAGTCTCTGAGCGAGACGATTCGTTATGACTCTCGAAAACAATTTGTAGACGTGGCTCAGGAGCGAGATGGGGCGATAATTCTTTAAAAGTGTTTTATCTCCTTTTTTAAAGAAAAGGACAACTATGCTCCTGCTCCACGCCTTTGGAGTTCTACCGGTAAAGAGGACAGTGTTAAAGAGCTTCTGGAGCTCCATAATAACAGGAAGACCTCCTGCTTTCAAGAGCTCAGAAGTAACACCATCCTCGCCCGGGGCTTTTCCGTTTTTAAGATTTTCAAGAGCCATCCCGATCTCGTCCACACTAATCTGTGGCAGCTCGTCGGTGTAGTGGCGAGATAGTGTGGCTCGGACATCTGCTGGGTCAGAGGCAGACTTGGTGGTTTTGGAAATATAGAGACGTCCGTAGAAGTCCTCAATTTCCTTGAGAATCTCCGGTTTGGAGGCGAGAATTTGGCCATCCCTTGTGGTCAGTTTTGTAAGGTGGCTTCTACCAAGACGCTGCACGAACACCTTGGCTCCTCGGTTTTGCTCAATTGCGTCATTAATTTTATTATCGAAAAATAATAATTCGAATCGATATTTTTTGTACGTGCCGCATATTGGTTTGACTGTGACGATTATTGGATTTTATGTATTTGTATTATTAACCTTATTATCGGCTTTTTCCCGCCAATTCGCGTAGGCCTCTAGAAGCGACTGCCCTTTTTCAGGTAGAACGAAGTCAACTGAAATGATATACAATACGTAAAGAAACTTAAAATTTTGTGACTTCACGCCTAGAACTCCTTTTTTTCCTACCTTTTTTTTTTTATTGCTTAGATGGGTGGACGAGCTCTCAGCCCACCTGGTGTTAAGTGGTTACTGGAGCCAATAGACATCTAGAACGTAAATGTGCCACCCACCTTGAGATATAAGTTCTAAGGTCTCAAGTATAGTTACTAGTTCTAGTAACTATACTTGAGACTATCTTGAGGGGTCATAGTAGATTCGCCGAACGCGTAGGTGAGCTCACGGGATCTAACCAGAGGACGTTGCTAACAGTAGCCCTAGCGTAGAGTAGTTCGCAGAATCTACCACCGGCTTCGGAAACGCGACCCATTCAGAAGATCCAAAGAAACGAGAAACTCAGTGGACCACCTCAAACTTAATGGTCACATTTAATTTATTAGTGAAAATTTCTCGTATTGTCAAATAGGGTCGACCAAAAAAACTTTTAATTTTTTTTTCTTTAGGTACCTACTACGAAAAAATGGTCCAAGATGACGAAAAAAAAAAATTCGGTTAAAGTTTGAGCTCTTCTCTAGAGGAGCCCCATCGGGATTTTTGTATTCCCATTTAAATAACACGAGTTTTATTTTTATTTCTTTGGAATTTTATTGTATCTCAACGAATTATCGCGTAGTAAAAAGAAATACATATTTTTGTAGGGAATTAAAATAATTTTCTGCTAAATTTTTTTTTCGTCATCTTGTATACGATACTTTCGTAGTACCTAACTAAAGAGAAAAAATTAATAGTTTTTTTTTTGGCCCACCCTAATGTCAAGCTTGTTTTAGCTTTACGTACAACGCCATCTATCGATGACAAACGAAACCTTGATGAAATTAATTGTTTTTAAATGAAATTAATTCGTGTTGAAGTACAATGCTGGATTTATTGTGTAACCGATCAACAAAGCCTCAGTAATTTTTCAAATCATGCGTTGTGTAGTTAAAATTGAATTAAACAATTTACCAATTGATTCTTCGGGTTCGAAAAATAGAATAGGGTGGGGTGGTGTAGGATTTTTTTAACAGAAAATTAAATAACTACCACCTAAAGTCACGAGAAAGGTATTTAGTCACGATATTTTAACAAATGTTATCAGCTTTAATACTTGTTTTAGGATGTCTTATGACCCCGCACGCGTATATCCTTCCACCCTGCCTGCTGTGTGCTTAGTGCGAGTTTTTTAACGTCCTCGATAGCGTAAAAGTTAACTCCAACTTGTATGCAATTGGAACAGCGCCCCTAGCGGCAAACGTTCGAACTCCATGCAACTTTGAGTTAACTTTTACGCTATAGAGAATGTAAAAAAAACTTTCACTAAGCTAACTGCTGGGAAATTAGACTTAGAAACTTTGACTCAAGCGCTCCAGTACCCACATAACTACGTGATCCGTGAGGTCTTTTGCGTGACTCGGCAATAAATAAATAAATGGTTACTTATGGTTGTTGTCCCTCCGGCGACCGCAGCTCGGGTGCCCTTGTAGAAATCATCGGCAGTTTTAGCGCCCATCATTTCCAGCTCGAAGTGAGTGTGGGGGTCGATGCCCCCGGGCATGACCAGTTTGCCAGCGGCATCGATGGTCCGTGTGCCTCCAGGAATGATGAGGTTGCGGCCAACTTGCCTTTGAATGAAAAAAATAACGGTTAATTTTTTTTTAAAATAAACATTTTCTCACTAAACGTCCGTGAACACAAAAACTGTACTAATATAGACAGATGCAAGGAAGAACATTGTAACGACTTATTATTTATTCGTAGTTCCTAACATTATTCGAGATAACAACAATAAAAATGCAAGATTAGACCGTGAATGTATTTTGAATTATAAAAAATACGCTTTTTATAAAGCAAATCCAATTAAAATTAATAACATTGTTATTTTTACCGCGTAGGCAGGTCATTCATACATAGATAGATACAGATTAAGTTCATGAAAACGTGTTAAAAACAGTTTAATGTGCATGAAGATATTAAATTTCTCTGATTTGATTCCTTAGAATTTTATGTAGGTCACTGGTGTCCTACGTGGCGTACTGAAGTAGTTATGTCGATTTTTCTCTTCGATCTTCGAACTAAGGCGCCGGAATATCTAGTAGACTCTGGGACAGACAAACTCAAAGATACTAACAATGAATCTGTTTCTAAGAGACCTAAAACGTACATTTAAAATTAAAGAAGCCAAAGTTAGGCAATTTTGGCGTTTAGTGTTAAGTAAAGTGATAAGTTTTTTATTTATTTATTCGCCGTCCCAGTCATTGCCGAACTGGGCACTTTCAATTTTTTTCTTCCTACCTATGCTGATAGTCTTGAGAGGCTATTTCACTGGCCCTATCTAGAGCAGTGCTTCGCAGAATCTACCACCGGATCGGAAACGCGACCCCCTGAGAAGATCCGGCGAGAAACTCAGTGGGCTAACTTTCAATGAATCTGCTACATTGTATTCTATTTTGACTGCGCATTCACTAGAGGGCGCTACAGGAGATAGAGACACGGCTTTGGATGCTAGTTCCAACTCTCATTCGCCCAGAATCAACGGTTTAGCTTGTTTATTTTTAATGCCACTCTAATCACCTAAATCTAAGTGGTAGACCCAACGCATTGTATGTGATATAATTTTCTATTTTACAATTCCGTTTGTCGCCGATAGATGGCGCTTGACGAAAAGCTGAATCGCGCTATCGTTGTGTTACCCACGAAACTATATCACATATTTTGATAGTACGTAATCTGATTTTTAGACTTCTTACTTTAAAAATCTGGATTTATCTTGAAAAGGTGGATCCCGGAGAAATTGTAACCGGGTGACGCCTACAGAAACCTATAAAATACGGATAAACCGACAGATAGATCGGTCGGTCAATGTTGACAATCGGCATTAACGGCTGATTTCATGACTTTGTAATCTTTGTATGATAAATAGATAGCCCCAGAAAATATAAAAAATATATTTGGAAGTATCGCTATGAAAATTGTTGCTAGTAGTTAGTAGTTACTACAAACGTAGCTATAACTATTGTCAATAGGGCTCTATAAGTGTTATAGCTGATTTGTATTTTCCAGTTTTTTTTTTTTATTGCTTAGATGGGTGGACGAGCTCACAGCCCACCTGGTGTTAAGTGGTTACTGGAGCCCATGGACATCTACAACGTAAATTCGCCACCCACCTTGAGATATAAGTTCTAAGATCTCAGTATAGTTACAGCTACAACGGCTGCCCCACCCTTCAAAACCGAAACGCATTACTGCTTCACGGCAGAAATAGGCAGGGCGGTGGTACCTACCCGCGCGGACTCACAAGAGGTCCTACCACGAGTAATTACGCAAATTATAATTTTGCGGGTTTCACTTTTATTACACGATGTTATTCCTTTACCGTGGAAGTCAATCGTGAACATTTGTTGAGTACGTAATTCATTAGAAAAATTGGTACCCCCCGCCCGGGATTCGAACACAGGTGCATCGCTCAACACGAATGCACCGAACGTCTTATCCCTTAGGCCACGACGACTTCTGTAAAAATCCTCTTATAAAGGACAGATGAATCATAACGTTACAATAGACTAGTTCATGGCCCACTATTGTATCGAGTTGAGTTACAGGAGACAAAAGTTCCGCGGATTGTTATCATTCTAATCAGTAAGACCAAACCGCGTTTTATTTAATAAACTCTATTTTTTGTTTTGAAGTTAATTAGGTAAATATGTAATAAAGAACACCATGCACTGATTTCGGAGAAATATATGTAATTATAAAAAAAATCCATAACGCTTACTCCTAGTCGGAAAAGGCAAAAATCTCAATCTACACATACAAGATATGATTTTTTTCCGTTTGTATGGTGGGGCAGCCAATATACATTTGCAATTCGAAACTGCGACCTCATGTGTCAAGGTGCATGGCCTTATTATGTTGCCTATGGGGTCTGTTCAACAATAAAAGACGTGGAATTAAAACTCGTCGAAATTGAGAATGATAGTTAGTAATCCGTGGCCTAACGATCTATTTTTGAAGCCGCCATTACACCGAATTCCAAAAAAGGAACATTCTTTTTCAAATTCGAATCATTCAAAATTAATCGACCCTAATTTAACCGTCAAATCTGCCGAATCATTGTTTGGATGCCGATTTATTGTTCAGCCCGTATGACTAAGCGATTATTATTAATACCATTCGATTTGATTAAAGCAATTGTCGGTGTGTGCCTCGTGAATGTAATAAATGTTTAATATGGGTCAAGGAACCGTTGACCCGGTTAAAGTGGTGTGGGATTGAAAAAATATCCGGAAACTCGATTTCTTTCGTAATTAACGGGTTATTATTATTTTTTTTATATGGACACACATATTGGCCAGGCTTGTCACATCGCGGATGTCGGAGCCGCATTAAGCTGTTTCCGGCTAAGTCGTTCGCATGCGCAACGGAACGCCAATGACGGGCAGTTCTGAATTCGAAAATTTAAATTAGTTTTGACGGTTTCAACGCACCGAACGTCCGTCGCCATGTTTTTCGTAAAATAGCATGCAAATATTTACTATTATTTTTATTCGACTATTCCAACCTCGGTTTGCTTGCCGATATTTTATTTGCTATCTAATTTGCTATTATTTTTTTGCCATACCTACTTAAACTACACGATTTAATAGTAATTTCAACAACAAAACCTAAAAACGATAAAGTTACAGTAAGTAGTAACAAAATTAAAGGTGCGTATGAGTTTCGCTTCCCAGCGAGTAATAGAAAGCGGCTTATCACCAGAAGTTCCAGTAATAACAAAAATACATATTCTTTTCATTTTTATTTTTTTATTGCTTAGATGGGTGGACGAGCTCACAGCCCACCTGGTGTTAAGTGGTTACTGGAGCCCATGGACATCTACAACGTAAATGCGCCACTCACCTTGAGATATAAGTTCTAAGATCTCAGTATAGTTACAACGGCTGCCCCACCCTTCAAACCGAAACGCATTACTGCTTCACAGCAGAAATAAGCAGGCGGTGGTACCTACCCGCGCGGACTCACAAGAGGTCCTACCACCAGTTAAAATATTCCGTATTATTCTGTAACGAAATACAATAGTTTCCTTAAAAAAAAAACTTTCGCCACACAAACAACAATGTAACTCGATTATATCTGTGAATTACTACTTTTTATTGACTTAAATCGTTAACTCGTGGTAGGGGTGAGAAGTGCTAACAAGATCGATAGTTTGAAAGTGCAGATAATAAACATGTTATTGTATACGTGGAAGTTTGCGTATGTAGCTAGTTAAGCGACCTGAGTTAAGTGCCTGTTAAGTTGCCGCTGTCCACGGACCACTTTTCCTTAATTGGGCTGTTCGCTTACTTTTCAAAGCATTGACAAGACAATCTTCTAGCTTTTTTTTATTTTTTTTTATTTATTGCTTAGATGGGTGGACGAGTTCACAGCCCACCTGATGTTAAGTGGTTACTGGAGCCCATAGACATCTACAACGTAAATGCGCCACCCACCTTGAGATATAAGTTCTAAGATCTCAGTATAGTTACAACGGCTGCCCCACCCTTCAAACCGAAACGCATTACTGCTTCACGGCAGAAATAGGCAAGGCGGTGGTACCTACCCGTCCGGACTCACAAAAGGTCCTAGTAGCTAATACTTTATATTATAATATTTTAAACATAATAGCAGGAACCAGTTTTATTTTTTTACCATAGATCCTTGTTCCTATTTTGGACCTTGAATAGAGAAGCAGGGCTAATTGGAGCCTGCACAGGTTACCATCATACTCCATATGTGTCGCGAAAATTCCTAAAAAGCGATATTCATCATCTACTTCCCACTGCTCAAGTCGTAGGACATAACAACAGCTACCTCCGAGAGTATACAGAACTACTACTACTACCGAGCTGGCGCTATGACCCCGAAGTGGGTCTTGGTCTCCGACAATAAACGTTACCATTCATCCCAGCGCTGCGCAACACCTTGCCAGTCCGACACTTGGAGCTCACGTAAATTTCCTTCCACAGCGTCAGACCAGCAGTATTTGGGACTCCCTACGGGGCGGCAGAAATCTGAACACCTGTCCAGTGGTATTTGGGGGTCATCTGTCCCATACACAGAAAAAGGCAGCCGGAAGAAAAGCAGCAACTACAGAGGAATTGCTTTACTACCACCTACAGCGTACAAAACTACTGTCTTACGTATATATTTAATACTAGCGGCCTGTTCCGGCTCCGCTCGGGTCTTCAAAAATTTCAACGATATTTGACGTTGTTTTATTTTTAAAATAAAAGAACACTTATAGCGGCATAACTGTAATAGATAGACCTATGATGTCGCGACACTTTTTGTAAATAATAATGTGTTCTACAAAGTCTTAATACATTCTTTTATTCTATCATCATTATTTTTCGCAGGGCACGCGATGTAATGAATATTTTAGGTAATTTTTTTACACCTAGAGTTACATTATTGGAGTTTTAGTAGGGATCCTTAATTTTTTCAAAAAAGATTATAGCCTATGTCACTCGGGAATAGTGTAGCTTCCAAACAGTGAAAGAATTTTTCAAATCGGATCAGTAGTTTCGGAGCCTATTCAATACAAATAAACAAACAAACAAACAAATCTTTCCTCTTTATAATA